TTTTACCAGTTTCATGTGCTTCAATTCTGTTTCTTGGGATCTTATACAACACCATATGAAAGCCCAGGTTAAGGTGTATGGCAGAACAAACCAGATTTGCTAAGCCAGTTATCTGACCTGGAAACTTCTGAGGATAATATGTTTCTTATGAATAATATAGTATTGGACGTTTGTTTTATATCAAGATTCTCACTAATACATAGGCCATGAACTCAGGGAATCCTAATGTAGAAGGGCCTATAACAGTTACCATGGATATGTGATAATGAAAGAACTAAAATAGGAGTGGAAACTTAAACCTAACCTCTTCTGCCAGTTCCTTGTGCACAAGTTAAATAAGAAAAAGCTCTCCTCTTCACTGAAGTTTGCTTATCTGATTTAATAAACACTAATGTCCTTTTCCTATTGGATTACTAACAGCTATGCTACCTTGGTGATTGTATGAGATAATTTGTCTGCTAATGAACCAACCCTCTAATTAAGTAATACAATTCTTAGTACCAGAGTAACAGTGAGTCTGTGTGTGTTTCTGTTTTTATTTCAGATCTAGTGTGGATAGGAGAACATTTTTTGTTTTTGTTGTTTTGTTTTTTTGTTTTTGGAGACAGGGTTTCTCTGTAGCTTTGGAGCCTGTTGATGGGGAAGTTCAGCTAATCACATTCTGTCTTGGGCGTGTGTTGCCCTAAGGCCAAAGAATACAGATAAATCTTGCAGAGGCTCTCCCCACTTCCTCTTTGGTTCCAGGCGCTCAAGGCATTCTCAGGATCTTTGTTCGTGTAAGTTTTCCCTTTTTCCTCAATTATTAAAAACTAAATCTTTTGTATTGAGCTGGTCAGGTTATTTATCAATCAACCACACCCCTACAGCCTGTTCTAGTACTAGCTCTTTTAGACCAGGCTGACCTCGAACTCACAGAGATCTTCCTGCCTCTGCCTCCCAAGTGCTGGGATTAAAGGGATGTGCCACCAATATTTTAAACTGAACGAGACATAAAGTCCCTATGGGGAAAGATTTTGCAATATGAAGAGAATGCATATATGAAGACTTCATTTGACCTAAAGGATCATCTGTTGTAATTAGAGCAGCGGGGCTGCGTCTCCAGCACCCCGGTCGCCTGCTAGCTTATGCCCCGAAATAGTTACAAGGACACTGTATTCTTTTAAACACTGCTTGCCCATTATATCTAACCTCTTCTCAGCTAACTCTCGCACCTGGACTAGGCCATTTCTAATAATGTGTGTAAGCACCCCAAGGTGCGCTTACCGGGAAGATTCTAGCCTACGTCCATCCTGGGTTGGAGCTTCATCACGTGTGTCTCTGAGAGGAGCTATGGAATCTCTCTGAGGAGTCTTACCTCACTTCCTCTTCCTCCCAGCATTCTGTTCTGTTTACTCCTCCCACCTATGTTTTAACCTATCAGGGCAAGCAGTTTCTTTATTTAATTAACCAATGACCTTCCTCCATCAATCATTTCCCTATGAAAGCTGTGGGGATCCACCAACAGTCCTTTCACTGCAGATCTAGGAATCAGCACCTAACACACTTATGTGGACTGTATAAAGAGTCTCTTCCAGGCTTTCAGGATCTGATTTAATAACTAAGAATAACTGGTGTATATAAACACATAGTTGAGATTTTGAGTCATAAATCAGAGCTTTGCAATGTTTGGTGATCAGGCAGACAGGAGAGATGTCCGCTGTTTTGTCACCTTCCCTACTACAGTAAATGTGAAGGATCAGCAAAGCTGACCCCGAAGCACAGGGAAAGGGAAAGAGAATGAGCTGGACACCACCACTGAAGTCCACAATTCCATAGTGTGACTTCTGTGTGGTATTTGTCACCTCCTGCAGAAGACACGTTAGGAAACATAAGCTTCAGTGTGAAGAAACCCACTGGATACCGAGCTCTAGCTGCAGCATATTTGTCTAGGTCTGTGTCCTTTTCTCTGCAGGGCTCGCTGATTCCTGCTTGGAAGGCTCAGTGGGATGCATGCTCCAAGGGGCAGCTCTGCTTCATCTCCTGTCCCCCTACTTTCATAATTTTAGGTGTGTGTTGGACACGTACTACATACTTGGTACATATTTATCAAACTAAGGAACTGCAGAATTATTTGAAAACGCATGTACAATGCACAGAAACCAACAACTGTAATATACTAGGACATTTTGTTATGCATTCAACAACTGTAAGGCTACAATATTCATTCACAATTAGCTGGGGAGAAAACACAAGAGAGGATCATCACTACATCCTTTCCCTGATCATGTGGAACAACAGAAATACATTAAACTAGAATTTTTAAGTATGCTTAATATCTTAAAAGACTAAAGATTTACTTGTTTAAGGAGTTCTTCTTTTGAGTAGAACCTAATCCAGTTATGTAAATGACAGTTAAAATTATTGCTTGCTATTTTCATTGTAGTGAGTAGGTAGCCACCCTCCATGCCTCCTCCCCATCTCATTACGAGTCTGATATATTAACCTCTGAGAGCCTATCACTTAAAAATAATATGGACATTACACTTTGAAAGGACATCATGTATTCATTTTTTTTAAGAGAAGGCAGGGTTTGGGTCTCTAGTGCTGTGGAAAACTATACAAGGGAAGCCAAAATTTCAGTCAGAGGCAAGTGTGAGTTTGAGTGACAGGTGTAGCCTGATGCTGTGCTCTCTCTAAGAACATTGGGCTGCAAGCAACAGCACCTTACAGCTGCACTGGGAGTGGCCTTATGGAAATAGTCAAATGGGAGTAGATGTCTTTAGGGAGAAGAGAAGGGAAGGGGTGAGGCAGGATTCTGATCTGTTTTCTCCCCATTACCACTCACCCATTGAGAATGGCAGAAAGGATTCTCTCTTCTTAAACTGTCCATTCTCCAGAAAATGCTCTGGATTGAAGGTGTCTGGGGTGGCCCACTCTTTGGGGTCCTTGTGCAGAGCAGTCAAATTGGTCAGGACCATGGTCCCCTAAAGAAGGCAACAAACAGTCAAGGCTGGATACGTGGAAGAGACCCAGACAAAGGATGGGGTTCCCAATCTCTCATTACTTTTCACACCATCAGCTCCATGAAAAATCCTGTCCTTAGTCCAGATCCATGATGGATTGTGTGTCCTTAGGCTGTTCCAGACCTATCAATCTGCTCTTTATTATAGAATACAGAACCATGGGAACAGGCCAGCATGTGCCTAGAGAGACAACATGGACCATCCATGGGAAGATAACTGGACATGGGCTAACAATCATCAACCTAGCTCCTTCCTCCAGGGACATGTGAAGAGGTAACCTGTCTCTGGGGTTAAATGAATGAATTGTATCTGTGTTTACAGAGTAGACCTAAACTTTCCAGGGGAACAATACATTCTGAGGCACTAAGACAAAGTGTTACAGATCCACAGAGGCCTCCTCTGGCTGACACTCTTGATTCTCGATCCGGGCAATTGATAATTGTCTAAGCGATTACATAAGAACACCACTGAGACTAGCCATGAGGACATTTCTAAAGACCATTAACTAAAGGCAGGTGGACTTTCCTTGACTATGTGTCACCATCCCCCATGCTCATGTATTGTGTGGAATAAATGGGGTGGGGGTTAGCCTCCTGCAGGTGTTTTTTTTTTTTTTTTTTTTTTTTCCTTTTCCTGACTACAATATTGAGGACTGATATTCTGAGTCACTTCCTTGTTGTCACGTTGAACTGAAACTTTGGGCATTTATTTTGTCACTGTCAAGAAAAGTCTGACCTTTGTTCATTAAACAGTGAGCAGAAAGAACAGAAAAGATTGTGCCTTGAACAGAAGGAGTGTGATGTAGTGAGGAGCATGCTCTGCAGAAATCCTGAGATTCTAAGCTGGGCTGTGCACTTGGTCTGTGAACAGAGGGAACGCAAGAGAGATCCATGGAGAAAATTATAAGAGAGATTATTCAGTGTCTAAGGTAGCAAGTCCTGGGCAGTACAAATAACCTAAGTAGTTCTGGATCTGAACTCTTCTGAGGCTGGATATTGTAGTGTAGAGATCTAGGTAATCTTAATTCCCAGAGTTTCAACCATCTAGTGTTTAGGGTATGGATCAAATTGCTATGAAAAGGGGATAATAAGCACCTTCAGCACATGTATGTTTGGCAAACATCTGTTCTTATCTCTTTTTTTCTTATAATTAATGCTTCTTTTTTGACTGGTTTCTTTGTGAGATACGTAGTTCTCAACAATGGGAGAGTATGCAAAGCTGGAAAACACCTGTGAGCACAGATGTGGCAAGAACAACTAACTCCTGTAAGGTCACATTAACACTGGAATATGTTAGGATAGCCTTCAGCTGCTAAAGCCAGATTTACATTATTTCCTAAAATCAAAGTAGATTCCACCAAGAAACCTTCCTTTCTCTATTCTTTATGCACATAAACAGCATTTAGACACATTGGAGGAAAGCTCTTTTTTTTTTAAGGAATAATATCTGTCTCTGTTTTATTGTTTTTTGGAGGCAGAAATGCATGTTATGTTTTAGATTTAGATTACTCAGATAATGCCAAGGATGGACTGCAGCATTGGAAACCAGGAGTGCAAAGTTACCTTACGCAGATGGAATCCAGCTACTGTGCTATCAGCTGTCACTTCCCTGGGAACATTCAAGGGGATGATGTTGCTCATCCTCTGCACCTCATGGATGACAGCATTGGTGTAGGGCATGGACTCCCGGTCAGCTGTGCTTGGCTGCCTCCCACGGCCAATCACTCTGTCAATCTCAGTGTGTACTTTTTCTGCAAAAAAAAAAAAAACAGGGTAGTGGGGGAGGGGAGGACTCAGCTGGTTTCAAAGTTTAGTGCTTTATTCTGAAGGCAGAGAAGTTGTCTCTAAGCTGTTATCTCCTGACATTTCACCTACTGTTTTGTCTACAAAGAGACACCATGTTTCTCAACTCCTTGGAAACCAGAGTTGAAAAATTGTCAATTCTGTAACTTTCCTTGTTCTTACAACATAGCCATAGCTTTCCACTGACCTTGAACTGAATAGCTGTCATCAACTTGGCTAAGCTCACAGCGATAACCATGTGGGCGGGTTTTTGCAAATTGTTTTCTTTCACCTAGTGGTTTGCAAAAAGTAAAAGCTTAATTTTCAGAGTTTGATGGTCTGGAAAACCTACAGTTAAGGCATCAGGACATTTCCTGTCTAAAAAAGATGAAGTTTTTGTCTTGTGGACTGCAAAGCTTTGCTGTCTTCTAGTATCATAAGAAAAAGGGAATATCTCTGGTTCCCATTTTTAAAAGCAAAATTAGAAAATATTCCATGACTTTTATTTGTGTGTGCTTGCACATGTTTCCAAGTGCAAGAGTGAAGTCCATAGCACAGCTTGTAGGGGGCGGTTCTCTTCTGTGCTCTCTGACTGCTGGGGATTAAACTCAGATAGTCAGGCTTGCAGAAAGTACCTTTAGCAGATCTCTCTGGCCAGTCTGGCATCTCTTTTAAAGGCACTAAATCAGTTCACAAGGATAAATACCTCCTAACCCCACTCCACTAGTAATTAGGTTTCAAGAAAAACTTTATAAGTGATACAAGCTTTCACTCACTAAATATTGTATACTGTGCTTTCTTAAGGAAATGTGCCAGTGTGGAAGGTACATTGTAAGCTATTGTGACCTTTGTTGCTGCTGAAGCTGCACACATTCTTCCAGGTTCACTTTCCTTATCTGTCCACTAAGAATAAGTAGACCTTAGTTTAAGAATGTTTTGATAATTACATGAAATTGTATTAACATAAGAAATAATTGTACCTTCTAGCTGTCCCCATATAGCTTCCGATTTTCTTTAGTAATAGTGATTGCACTGCTATTCAGCTAAAATCTTAATTTCCTGTATTTCTTTTAGTTTTTTGACCGTGAATGAGCTTAGTACAGAGAGACATATCACTGAATGGGCTGCTAAGCTAAACCCACATGTATATTTTAAAGGTATCTTGACTTCAAAATTTGAGTCTAAAGATGTGTTAATTTGAAAAAAAAAAGATTCTGCTTCTGTTTTCACAGAAGATGAGAAGCTGTGGATCCTTCTAGGCTAATGTGGTTTGATGGACGAAGATCATGCAAAAGATCTCCATGAACCTTATAAATAGTTCGCTCAACCAAGAGCAGAAAACAGTTTGGAGAAAACAATGCCCAAATTCCCAAAATGATTGTTTATAAATGTTTGTTTTAATTTATTGGGGTATATAATATAAAGGTGAATACTTGCATGGTATGGATCTTGGTCTATTCTTACAAAATTAAGGTTGATATTGTTACACTGTATATATATATAATATATGTATGTATATTATGTATGTATATATTTATTTCTGTTCTTATTTAAGGTATTGTGTCTATGTAGCTCATTTGAAAATGTAATGTATAATCAAAAATTAATAGTAATCTATAATAATTAAACTGTATTCATGTTAGATTTCTCAGATTTATAGAGTTATATTTCAGATGGATAGGTATTCTTCAAATCTTTCTAAGACCTACAGAATATGGCATTTAAAATGTTTTAAGAACTTAGACTTTTTTATGACAGTAAGACATGTCTGCTTCCAGTACCTCCAATTTCTTCAGAGAGGTTGATGGACATTGAAGAAACTCATTATGGAATTTGCCTTCAAGGTGACAAAGCTAGCCATTTGGGCAAGAAAATGCTCTTGCTTGGACTGCCTAATGTTATGCTATATGAACTGGATATGCAGGACCCATAGAAAAGTGACTGCTGAGATTTCCAAAAGATGGGGTGGTTCTTAGGGTTCTTGCATCACAGAGGAAACTGCCAGACATTCTTCAGGACACAGAAGAAAGTGTCTGACAAACTGCCAAAATAGGTAAAACAGTCTTTTAAATCCTGCTTCATGGAAAAGTCTGCCAGATACTATAAGCCTGTGGGCTGAATATGGATGCCCCAGAGTTACAAAAGAACTTTGAGTGACTGTCTAGGTATCAAGATGTCTCTGTCATTTCTAGAACTTTGGAAGTTGCTTACAATGCACTTCTTGTTTACGTGGGTAATATTATGTTCTTTTGGGGTCTTTGATGGAGTTGAAGACAGATAGTTACAGTTATAGTTTTCTTTAGTTATGTTAAAAGATAAATTAGATATGAAATTTTAGACTCACAAAGAAAAATTAGATGATAGAATATTTTTTAAATTTTGCCAGATACAAATAGATTAAATATTGTAACAATAATTATTGTTTGATACTGGTTTTGTTATATGTAATCTTACTATGTTAAAGTTAAAACCTTCCTTTTATTTAGACAGAAAAGAAGAGATGATGTGGGATTTCCCTCCAAATGCTGTGGATAGTTTTATTACCATTGGTTAACAAAGAAGCTGCTTTGGCCTATGGAAGGGCAGAATAGAGCTAGGTGCTAAAACTAAACTGAATGCAGGGAGAAGAAAGGCAGAGTCAGGGAAATGCCATGTAACTGCCAAAGGAGAAAGACACCTAATCCTTACCAGACAGTCAATTCTTGGTAAAATTTAAACAATTTTAAGAGGTAGTATCTGAGCATATTCTTCTGAAAGCTCAAAAACTGAGATAGCTCACTTTTGTTAGGGAGGAAGTCCAATACCCTGCTTATAGGCAAGAATAAGAACAATGCCAATGGAGAAAATGTAATGCAGGGAGACACCATGCAGAGTGTGTGTGGTTCAGTCTGGACAGACAGAGATAGCATCAATAGGATGTCAGGTATCTTACTGAGGCATCCAGATGGTATTCAGGATGAAATAGGAAGGCATTGCTAAAAAGGAAGGAGGGACTGCATGGGCTTTAATCAGACTGTCACTTTTTACTGAAACCTATCTCATTGAAAGCTGGCTTCTCTATTTTCCCCTAGACCTAAAGATTCTTCAAGGCATAGATTTCAAGGCAAGCCTACACCTATAAATCATCATAATCCTGAAAGATGTACAAAGACCCTTTCCCAAGAACACCTCTCCTCACAGCTGCTCCATGGGTTTCATTCCACTATTCTAGCCTCTGGCCTAGCTAAGCAACAGCTTCCAGAAGCACCATTGTGCCTTGCCAAATGTGTATGTGTGTTTGTGTGTACTGAGTGTACACTCACCTTGCACTGCTGAGTCTATAGCCATGTAGAGCAGAGCCCAGCGCAGGGTCGTGGATGTTGTCTCTGTTCCAGCAAAGAAAAGGTCCAGAGTGCTGCAGATGAGGTTTTCTTCATTGAAACTTGTAGTCTTGTCTGGGTGCTAGAAAAGACAGTGTGCATCTTTTTTTTTTAGCTAGAGGATTTGTGATTATCTGAAGAACAGAGTCATGAAACTAGGAAAAAATTTGGAAAGAATCTTTCAGAATGATATTCCTTTTGACCTCATTGGTTTGTATTGTTGTCCTTCAAGCGAGAGAGGTTGATCAAAAACATTTGAGTGGATAAAAACTAAGACAATAGCTTTTTATGATTACTCTTTTGAAAAAAAAACTTTTAGTAAAATGTAAGATTTTTGGAAACAAAGGAGCACTTGGATTCATGTATCAGTTATATGACTAAGTCATGACATGGCCTAGAGTGTTCTTTACCTTACGTTACATTTCTCTGCTTCAGTTTCATGACAAAAGAATAACACTTGTGATGGTTATTCTTGGGGTCAGCCTGATATATCTGGAATTATCTAAAACCCAAGTGACTGGGTGCCCCTGTGAGGAATATATAATTCAATCTTTTAAGGTGGAAAGGCCCCCATTTAACCAGATATTTTGAGGTGGGAAGGTCCACCTTATATCAGCCACACCTTCTGGTGGCAGTCTATATAGAGGACATAGAAAAAGGAAGTGTTTTTCCTTTACCTGGTTGTCCTTAAAATCACTGGAAGTCAATGCTTTCACTGGACTTAGAGCCTACTACTTCTTTAGGATTCTGGCATATCCTGAAGATCAGCTGAAAATCCAGCCTTGTGAACAGAGCTACTGGATTCTCATACTTTCTGTTGGTCGACAGCCATTGTTGAACTTGCTGAACCACACACTCTAATAAATCCCCCCCACATATACATATACATACATAAACCTATCTATATTCACAAATATGTATGTGCGAGCTCACACACACACATTAGAATATCTTATAGGCTGTGGTTCACCGACTTCAACAATGTCTGTCTAAGAGAAAACAGCCATCAGCTTTTTACTCTAGAAAATTCTGAATAATACAAAATACATCTTAATCATGATAAATTGTGGGAAATGAGATGGGAATATAGCAAACACTGAACAAATATTTTTATTCCCTACAGAAATAATAAAGTGAAATCTCCATGTTTGCTGGTTGTCCTTTTTCTCATTTAATCTTTCATTTCAAAATCATGCCAAAATCTTTCAGGTCCTAACAGTTGTCCTTTAGAATGCCATATTTTCTTTACTAACTTCCTCTAGAAGCTCAGTTTGTTAATATTGTTCTTGATGTTGATGATCTCAAACCTGAACTCCATATGGTAAAAAATTTGCCTCCTCCAGGGATATAATATTGCTTCTACTGATATTATGCCAGGAATACGAATTAAAAGAGATGGCGGGAAGCCATTTACCATTGTACACTTGGTCAGGGGAGGAACCTGGAATCCTGTGAGTCAAAGATTCTACGACAGATGCAATGATGTGTACTAGCCAGAGGCTTACCGAGATTACAGAAGTACAGTTAATACTATGGTCTGAATGCAAATCATCCCCTAAAGGCTCAGGTTTTGAATGCTTGGCTCCTAGTTTCTGTGACTAATTTAGAGCTTCAAGAGAATTAGGAGGTAGGGCCCATTATTGGGGACAGAATCAAGGTTATAACAAGGCCCTTGGTTCTCCTTCCTGGTAGATAATGATGGGCAGACTCCACCACATTCCTTTGCCACCATGAGCTAAGCGGCTCTGCCATTCCTTCTCTGTAATAATGGGTCTAAGTTCTTTGAAACTGTGAAACAAAATACATCTTCACTCTCTTAAGTTGTTTCTGAGAGTATTTTTACAATGATGCAGAAGAAGCAACACTTACATGCAAGAAGCTGCTTTCTAGATTTCTGAGTGATTGGAGTCTTGAAATGAGGTCAGAGGGAGACAGAGGCCCCATTCAGACTTTGAAGTTAAACTCTGGCATTCAATTAAACTTTGCCTGTGTTCTGCAGTGGGGATTGAGATGGAGTGGATGACTGGCTGTAGACAAGCTCATTCAAAACTAGAGCCAAGAAGTTTAATTGAAACTTTTATTATTTCTTACCTAAGGGTAAAGGCCCAGGAAATGCATAAAGGGCCAATACCTTCCATTTTCAGGGCTTCATGCCAAACAGCAGTGGATCCCTTATTTGATTTTTATTAAAATTTTATTTCTTATTTTTTCATATATTATACCCTGACTGAAGTTTCTACTCCGTTTCCTTTCTAGACACATCCAACCCTATTCACTCCTTTTCCTTTCCCTAAAGGAAAGGGAAGGTCTCAAAGGGATATCAGCCAAACATGGCAGGTCAAGTTGTTATAAGGCTAGGCACCTCTCTTCATATTAAGATTGCACAGGGAATCCAGTAAGAGGAAAGAGTTCAACAAGTAGGCAAAAAGTCAGAGACAGTTCCTACTCCCACTGTTAAGTGTCCCACAAGAAGACTGAGCTACTTTATGCAGAGGGCCTAGGTCACACCCCTACAGGATCCCTGTTATTTGGTCTCTCTGATGTCCACTAGTTGATTATGTTGGTTTGCTTATGGTGTCATTACTTCCTTTGGAAGCTTCCTCTACCTCTCCAACAAGATTTACTGGGTTCTGCCTAATCTTCGCCTGTGGGTCCTGTATCTATTTCCATCAATTGCTGGATAAAGCCTCTCTGATTATGATTTTGCTAGGCCCTTATTTACGAGTACAACAGAAGAGCATTAGGAATCATTTCATTGACTTTTATCTGGTTGTTTTTTATTATATTCTATGTCTCTGATTTATCCAGCCTCTTGTCCCTAGCCCTCGATGCAGGGCCAGGGGTGGACTCCTTCTCTGGGCATTGGTCTTAAGCTAGACCACTCACTGGTTAGTCACGCCCACAATTTCTGTACCCCTTTTATTCAGCTCATATTGCAAGTAGGTTTAGGATATTATTGTGTTGAGGGTTGGTGTCTCAATGCACCCACTGGCAGTCTTGCCTGGTTACTTATCTCCCATTGCTAGGAATCTTAGGTATGGTTACCCTCAAATATTTTTGGGAGTTTTCATTGCAGTAGGTTTCTGTCTCATCCCTGAGATACCTCCCAGTTTCAGTTGTCTCTCCCAGTACTTTCTCTCTCCATCCTCCCCACCCCACCGCTCTTTTTCCCATCCCTTCCTTCCCCCAGTCTACCTGTAACACATATTCTATTTCCCCTCCCCAGGAAGATTCATACTTCCCCTTGAACCCTCCTTGTTGCTTACCCTCTCAGGGACTGTGGATTGCAAAATTCGTTACTGTTAATATCCACTTATGAGTGAATACATACAATGTTTGTCTTTCTGTGTCTGGGTTTCCTCACTTGGGATGATTTTTCTAGTTCCATCTATCTTCAGATTTCATGATGTTATTTTAACAGCTGAGTAATAATTCATTGTGTAAATGAAGTCTTTTCTTTCTCCATTCTTTGGTTGAGGGGCATCTTGTTTCTAGTTTCTGGCTTTTACAAATAAAACTGCTATGCTATGAACATAGTTGAACAAGTGTCCTTGTGATAGGATGAAACATCCTTTTGGTATATACCAGAGAGTAGTATAGTTGGTTCTTGAGGTAAGGTGATTCCTATATTTCTGAGAAACTACCATATTGATTTCCAAAGTGACTGTTCAAGTTTGCACTCCCGCCAGTAAGGGAGGATTATTTCTCTTTTTCCACGTCCTCTCCGGCATGAAATGTCACTTGTGCTTTTGATCCTAGCTATTCTGACATGTACAAGATGAAATCTTAGAGTCATTTTGATTAACATTTCCCTGATGACTAAGGATGTTGAACATTCCTTTAAGTGCTACTTGGCCATTTGAGATTATTCTGTTGAGGAATTTCTATTTAGACCGACACCCCATTTTAAAATTTGGACTATTTGATTTGTTGACATTTAGTTTTTTAGCTTCTTTATATATTTTTGGAAATTAGCCCTTTGTCATATGAAGAATTGATGAAAATCTTTTCCCATTCTGTAGGCTGTCATTTTGTCCTTCTGATGGTGTCATTTGCTTTATATAAACTTTTCAGTTTCATGAGCTCCCATTTAATAATTGTTGATCTTAGTGTTTGTACTTTTGATTCAGAACAGTTGTCAGTGTGTCCAAGCTTATTCCCTACTTTTTCTTCTATTAGGTCCAGTGGTTTTATGTTGAGGTCTTTGATCCACATGAACTTGAATTTTATGCAGGGTGATAGATATGGACCTATTTGCATTCTTCTACATGCTGATGTTCACTTAGACCAGCACCATTTATAGATCATGTTTTCTTTTTTCCCCCCATTTTATTATTCTGGCTTCTTTGTAAAAAATTACATGTCCATGGGTGTGTGGGTTTATGTCTGGGTCTTCAATTTGACTTCATTGATTAACCTGTCCTTTTATATCAATATCATGTAATTTTTTCTATAGGAGAGCTTGAAATCAGAAATAGTGATACCTCCAGATGTTCTTTGATTCTACACAATTGTTTTAGCTCTCCTGAATTTTTTTGTTTTTCCATATAAAGCTGAGTATGGTTCTTTAAAAGTTTGTAAAGAATTGTGTTGTGATTTTGATGGGGATTGCATTGAATCTGTAGATTGCTAGTAGGACAGTAATTTTTACTATGTTAATCCTACCAATCTGTGACCATGGAAGATCTTTCCATCCTCTGATACCTTCTTTAATTTCCATCTCAGAGACTTGAAATTCTTGTCATACAGTATTTTTACACTTACTTTGTTAGAGTTACCCCAGATATTTTGTATTATTTGTAGCTATTGTGAAGGATATTTTTTTTTCTATGAATTCTTTCTCAGACTACTTTTCATTTGTATATCAGAGGGCTACTGATTCTTTTGGGTTTGTTTTGTATCCATCCACTTCACTGTAGGTGTTTAACATCTGTATGAGTTTCCAAGTAGGATTTGTGAAACTGTGCCACTTCCCTCCGGCAATGGTTAACACTCTGGACTTTGAAGTCTTTACTTCTAATAATATTCCTGGCATAATGCTCTCATGCATTTTTAAAATACTATTCATAATTTATGTTTACACAGCATGTTAATCATTTACCTACAAAGATGCCCAGATCTTCCTTTTATAACATGTGTATGGTACTTGATAAGCTAAGATAGGCTTTGCAGATGTGATTAATTTGAGAGAGGAATATTAGAATGAATTATCCTTATGAGAGGAGGGTTGAGCATAAGATCCAGAGATTATGGAGGAAGGTCACCTGTCTATGTGTTACTCCAATTGGTTAATAAAGAAACTGCCTTGGCCCCTTTGATAGGACAGCAGCTTAGATAGGTGGAGTAGACAGAACAGAATGCTGGGAAGAAGGGAAGTGAGGCAGACGCTATAGCTCTGCTCTCCAAGATGGATGCAGGTTAAGATCCTTCTCAGTAAGACACCACCTCGTGGTGCTACACAGATTATTAGAAATGGGTTAATCAAGATGTGAGAATTAGCCAGTAAGAGACTAGAGCTAATGGGCCAAGCAGTGTTTAAAAGAATACAGTTTCCATGTAATTATTTCCAGGTATAAAGCTAGCCGTGCGGGAGCTGGATGGGAATGCAGCCCGCTGCTCATTTTTACACAGAGAGAGAAGATGTAAAGATAGAAGCAGATAATGAGAGAGGAAAGATGGTACAAGACTGATACTGAAGATGGAGGAAAGAGTGAGCCATGCAAAGGATATCAGTGCCCTCTGAGACCTTGATCTTGGCTGGAGTCTCTATGGTGTTAGAGTCCATAATCTTCAGAAGAAGCTCGCTTGGCCAGTAGAAATAGGGATTCATCTAGTACTGAATCAGTGCAATGCTACACCCTTAAATGTGATCCAAGATCAAATAGAAACTACTAATCAACCATATTGTTATTAAGAAGACCCAGGCAGCATCTTCCTCACCTTTGACATTTCTGTGAGGAAAGCATCAATGAAGTCTCTCGGTTCAGCAGGATTCCAATCTTTCCGGTGACTGTGCATCATGTGGGACACAAACTGTTTCAGTTTTTCCCAGTTTCTGAAAACTGTCTGGTGTGATCCAGGAAGATATTTCATTATGGATGGAAAGACATTGTAGAGCTTATAAAGAAAAATAAGAAAATCTTAGAGACAGAGTGGAGTCATTTTTCTATATTTCTGAAGAATCTTGTCCTTCCCTCTGTTTCATTTAGTAGAACTTTGGGGCCATCTTGGTTTCTGGCTTCCTTGTCCCCACTGCATATTCAGGTGTTTATCTGTGACATGTAAAATATATGAAGAACCAGGCTACTTTTCACCAGCACAGTTCCTTGCTCCCTGGTCTACATTATCATCTCTCCTATCTGAATTCTTGTATGCTATTCAATTGTTCTTTATTCTACTATTCATGCTTTCTTAGATTATTTTGCAAATAGATCCCAGATAGAATATTTACCAATTTCATCACATGACTTCACTCCCTGTGAAACCATCCACTGCACTCATAATTGGGCATGGTGTGTTGCAACTGTAAGCCCTACAGAGATGGAACCATTCAAGCCTTCATCATTATCCATGTTTCTCTACACTCTCCAATCATGTCCACAGCTATGATCATATTGACGGCATTTCTTTTTCAGGTCTAAGCAGTTAGTATTCACGGTGACTAGAAAGTATCTCTGAATTGAACATGATCCCTGTCCTTCATTTCATGAAAGCAATGCTCAAAAGTCACATCCTTGGAGCTCTGATACTTGATTACAGACATAGGCTTCTTTCTAATCCTTTTTCAGGATTTATTTTTCTCAGGAAAATTATCGCTAATGTGTACTGTGTGGGTTGCTGTGTATGCGGGTATCGCCAATGTAACTTCCATATGGTGAGATAGATGTTGACTGAAGTAAAGTGGATGATGAATAAAGTTTCAATAATATTTAGTGGGAAACAGATAGCATAGCACAGTGTAAAATCAACAATACTTAAAATGAGGCAAATGTCTAGTTGTTACTTCTGCTACCTTTAGGTTTGATAATAGTTTTAATAATATTAATAATTTTAATATTCTTAATAATATTAAAGTATTCCAATATTTATTGCTACCATAAATGTTATTGATAACACTAAAGCATGTACATATTTAATATCATTCATATTGTTAAATTATATCAGTGTTTAATATTATTAAGTAATATTAACTTTGTACTCTTTAGCAGTGAAATGTCACTCTCTCTGCATACCAAATGGTATGACACCACACCACAGAGGTGTGGTGAATTACTGTCTACATTTGCTTGAATAGTTTTGTACCAGGTTTCAGACATATGTTTCATTATTTTATATGTAGAGAGCCATTGTGAAAATTAATGGACATGTGCTTTTATAGTGTCTATCAAAGTATTTCATTTAATGTTTTATGTCAAGAATGTTTATTATCACTCTTTCCTATCTCTCTGTTCTTTCTAATGTTTCCCCTCCCTGGTACATAATCTATAAGTTGACTGGGCACTCGCCGAACTTTATTGATTTCTTAGGTTCTGCTTACTAGGTGGAAAGCAAAGGAGCTGCTGAACTTGTAACTATCACAATTAAGAGTTAAAACAAGGAACATAAAATACAATTAAGTACAACAGATCAATTTCTTTGTGCTCCATTTGTCTATAAGATATGCTAATCAATTCATCAAATTTTAATGAGAGCATCCCTGAACTTGAAGAGAAAGTGCTGTGGAAAGAGGATAAGTGAGAATAAATACACTACAGAGATGTGGATGTATAGAAGCAAAAGGTTGCAAAGGGAAAGGGAACTTTTGAAGGACGAGTAATTGTGCTTCAGATCCATTCTCTCTGGAACCCTTGTGTACCCAAGTACACTAAACCAGCAAGGAAAAGGTCACTGCAGCAGTATTATACATAGAAGAGGATCAAAAGCAATGTAAATCGTGCAGACAAAGGACAGACTGAAGTACATAGAGTGGCTGAACTAGTGAGAGCTATGCAGGAATCTGTTTTGATTAAGAGAATTAACAAGTCAACCTGTAACAGTAATAGAGAAGAAAACAGAGACTAAATATGAATTTAACCAACCAGAAAACCACCTCAAAATTATGGGAATTGGTGTGGATTGTTTAATACCAATTTTTAATGTCAATGGCCAACATACAAACTTACATATACACACACAAGATAGAGAGAGAGAGAGAGAGAGAGAGAGAGAGAGAGAGAGAGAGAGAGAGAGGAATAGACTAGAGGAATAAACAAAGACTGAAGAGTTGTTTCTAAGAGATATACTGTACAGGCAAGAGCACCCACAGACTGAGAGTAATAAGCGAGAAAATAAGCAACTATCAAGCAAAAGAAAATTTAAAGCATACAGTTCTTGCTATTCTGGTATCTGAGAAATAGATTTCAAGTCCAAAATAGCTGAAAGTGACTTATAAAATGCCACTATAAATTAATAAAGAGAACAACCATTCAATCAGGACAATTGTATCTAAATATGACTCAGACCAAATTCAGGCCTTCTAATTTCATGCAATCAACAATAATAAAAATAAAATGTCAAATGAGTCCTGAGGTAATACAGAGTGATTTAAGTAACCAGCTGTCATCTCTAGATAGCTCCTCCACAGGGAAAATTAAAAGTAAAGAAAGAATCAAATTATACTGCAGATAAAACTGCCTTGAGAAATAGCTAGAGGGTAATTCTTCCAACAGAAACATACACATAGAACCTTATCTAAAATGGAATACATTCTATACCACAAATGAACTCTTACCAGATACAAAAGAAAGAAAAGTTATTTCGGAGCTGAAAAAAAAGACAATAGCAATAGACATACTGAAGAGATACCAACCCAACACAAGGAACCATTGGCAACTAAGGGCTTCTGAGAATAAGAGAAAACATCTTTCCAGAGAAGAGCCCAACAATTGGCTATCCAACACCAGATGACCATTCTTAAAAACATATAAGCAAGTTTATAAAGACTAAGCCCGTTGTATTATGTATTTAGGGATATATATGTTAGAACATATGCATATGAATCAATAATTCATGAAAACTTGAGACTGTGAATATGAAAGTGGGCAAGGAGGGTTACTTTAAAGTATTTGGAGAAAAAAATAAAGTATTTGTAGAAAGGAAGGGGAAGAAAAAATCATATAATTATGTTATAATCTTAAAATATAATAAATAACTTTTTAAAGATTCACACTAAAAATGATCCATATGAGTGGATGTGTTCACTTGAACACTGGCACCATAATATTCATAAATATATTATTCCTCATATCCCAAACCTAGGAACAGCTCAAATACCTAACCACAGAAAAAATGACAACACATTCAGACACTACACTGCCTACAAAGAGGAATCTTAAAACAAGTTGATGGGCTCGAAAGTGACTCTGAGGTAGGAAGAGAGAGGCACAGGAGGAAACAATCATAGTCAATGATAAGACTGCTATTTTTTTTAAAAAGGAAATTTCCAAATACTTGTATATGTGCCAATGTAAATGTTAAAAATGTTTTTATATGTTAAGCTCTTATATTACAAATAGGTTTGTATCAAATTCAATATATTAGCTTCCCAAAATCTCCAAAACTAAAATAAAAAAAATCTATCTGTTTTTGAATCAGTCACAATCCAATATTGTTTCCAAAATATGTGAAGTCAAAAAACTTACCAGGCACATCATTGATGCCTCCAAACACGTGACTTCATCCAGTAGCTTCAGCATCTCCTGAAACTGACTGTCATGGTACTCAAAGCGCTCCCCGAAGGTGATGGAGCAAATGATATTGGAAACTGCATTGTTGATATTGAAGTGAGGGTCAAAAGGCTTTCCTGGAGGTGGGGAGAGGGGATATGTCTTTCAAAGGTATTGGGTAGTTTCTGTTCCTCCTACACCCCTCTGTCTCCTTCCTTCCTTCCTTCCTTCCTTCCTTCCTTCCTTCCTTCCTTCCTTCCTTCCTTCCTTCCTTCCTTCCTTCCTCCCTCCTCCTCCTCCTCCTTCTTCCTTCCTTCCTTCCTTTCTTTCTTTCTTTCTTTCTTTCTTTCTTTCTTTCTTTCTTCTTCCTCCCTCCCTTTGTTCTTTCTTTTCCTTCTTTATTTTTTCTTTACAAAGATTCCACACTATATGATATAAAATATGCATAGTAGAACAGGATAGGAAAATCTCCAGCTCCAGCGCTCTACAAGAGGCCTAGAGCAACTCAAGGCCTTTGTCAGCATCTGTGAAGTCACATAGAGAATCAGCCTTTAAGTGCTACAGTTTGTTTAATGACCCCTTTGTGTGCTTAGCTGTAGAACTTCTTGGGCAAGGGCATTACTAAATGTTCACTGCTCAGTACTCAGTGCCTAGCACACTGCAGAGAAAAGACTAAAATTTATGTGATAAAAATCTATTCAATATCCGGGCGGTGGTGGCGCACGCCTTTAATCCCAGCACTTGGGAGACAGAGGCAGGCGGATCTCTGTGAGTTCGAGACCAGCCTGGTCTACAAGAGCTAGTTCCAGGACAGGCTCCAAAACCACAAAGAAACCCTGTCTCAAAAAACCTAAAATAAAATAAAATCTATTCATTGAATGAAAGGGCCACATCCTACTGCACTTCCCTGTGACAGGCCCACCTTCCTCCTCTCCTATGGCTTCCACAAGATGGAGGGCCTCCTCTTGTATGCGCTGCTCTAAGCTCTTCTTTCCCAATCCAAAGTTCCTGAGTGTCATTAGTGCAAACCTCCTTTGCTCCTTCCATGTCTGACCATTAGACATGATCAATCCTGGAAAAAATACATTCAGCATTATGACATTGTGAGTCGGGCTTAAAAGTATCAGAAAAACTGTATTAGACATGTATACAGAGGAAAAGAAAGCCCAGTATGAGAACTGATAGCTGTCTAGAGACAATCTCAGTGCAAGTGACTAACATGTTCTGGTGATTTGCAAAAGCACATAGTTTAGTAAGTACGTCTTACATAGTATATAATTTTGTATTGATAGAAACTCTGCAGGTTTATTACCAACTAGCAAATGTCCATTTCAATTGGTGAAACACTGAGGTATGATAATAAATTCTAAAGTAATCTTTGATCAAGAACAAGTAGGTGGACATCCAGATATCCAAGTTTCCCTGGTTCTAAAGCCCCAAATTGATTAGTAGAAATATGTCACAATGCATACCAGGAATGCACTCATGGATAAGACAAGGCACACATTACTTATAAATTTGCCGTAAGTAATAAAGGCACTATAAGAGAGGTTCTAGCAAAGACAGACTTGAAAGATGACAAAATGACTCAAAAAGTTAAGAAGGATGAGTATTCCTTTCTCTCTCTCTCTCTCTCTCTCTCTCTCTCTCTCTCTCTCTCTCTCCTCTCTCTCTCTCTCTCTCTCCCTCTCTCTCTCTCTCTCTCTCTCTCTCTCACACACACACACACACACACACACACGGGTGTGGGAGAGGAGGAACATGCTGCTGGGGTTAGAATCCACCATGTCTCAGCTCATATACAAGGCCACACTCCTGTCTATATCTTACCTTTCAGAACAACGTTCAACTCTTCAGCATTTAAAGTTCTGGTTTTCTTCTCCGTGTGTTCTTTCATCAACTCAGTCATTTATTTTCTGAAACTTCCCCTTCTATGCTGGATCATTCAGTTATAGATTTCCTTCCCAATTCTTTGACAGAAATTTCCTATGACTTTTGTTGTTTTATTTTAACTATCAAATCTCAAAACACTGAAGTTTTTAAAGACAAGTTCTAATAACACCCTCTTACAGCAAATTTTGTCTCAAAATATCCACTGAATCCCTATCATTTAAATAACCTCTTCTGATAGTCAGACTATCGTTTTACATGTCCCGGGAGGAAAATACTCCTGGATCATGCATGTTATTATAAACGTTTCCAGTTATAGAAATTTACACTCAGTACATGTATGACAGAAGTTGTTATTACATGTCTAAAGTTCCCAAATAGAAGTCACCACCACTAGTCACCTTGTCTTTTGACATTGTTCTCCCTGCATTACTCACAGCTCCTGCAATCTCCTGAGAACCCATTTTCCTGCAGCTAAGACATATGCCATGATGGTATCTCTCTTGAATGACTTCAGTCCGTATGGCTTTAATGCCACCATCCCAGTCTAACCTGCTGTCATTTTTTGTCATATCGACTGTTCTAATTCCTTTTATATTAACAGTAATGATTTCTTTGCTATAATTCTTCTCTTCTCTACCTGGAATCCTAAATATGCCTCAAAATGTGCAGTATTTGACCTTTTCCTCCTAACCAAAACCATTTAAGAGCTTCTCCTGTTGTTATGATGAAAACAAAGAGCTGGACTCTTTCTTATCAACCTCAGTAGTTTTATGCCCACTTAAATATATCCTTCAGATACTATACTTGCTACACTGGATCCTTGCAGTTTTTCAAGATCCCTGCTTTAATGTGCCTTCAAGGATATTCCATCTTTTTGAGTACTTTTTTCACACTATTCATTGAATACCATTATTTCTAAAGCTCTTCCTGAATCCTAGGACAACTTGGATGTCTTTGATAAATGCTTTATTATTGTAGCATGACAGGATTTTAATCAGTATAGTTAAGTGATTCAGACTTTCTTCTTAGATGAATTATGTGTTATACAAGAATGATTTTTATCTATTATGATCAGCATTAATCAATTAGGCTGATGACTCTGCTTCTCCTAGCAGACAATGTAGTCAAAGTCATACAATTAGTGGTTGATCTTTTCCAGGAGCAATTTGAAAAGGCTAAAACAGAACTTTTACAGGTTAATAGAGATGAAGTCCATTTTCAACTTTCAAACACATAACTTGATTTAATGATCACTTTGCATACTCATGCTAGTCTATTCTCACACTGTCTGGAATGCTAGAGATCCCTGTGAGGCATGGCTTCAGTGATGTAGTTTAAGGAGTCTTAAGCAAAAAGAGCAGTAGCAGGAGGAAGCTCACTCACACCCATTTTCCTAGGGCAGAGGACTGGAGTGGAAAAGGGGAAGTGAGGGCTCAGCCTGTCTGACTGTGGAAGGAGCTGTCCTTACCTACCACACATCTAGAGTTAGTCTGCAGGACACGTGGTTTCTCCAATTCTCTCTTACAGGATACAGTGCAAGTCCTCTGACGGTTGCTTTCATCTAGGATATACTACATCTAGCTGACTTTGAAGATAACATTTCATGAAGGGTTTGGTTTATAGGAATGTTGTAAAATTACAGATATAGAGGCACTTTTATCACATCATAAAGCACCTTATACTGCACTAGAAACAATATTATATGCACTTTAAAAAATTTATACATGTGCAATACCGGTTGATCATATCCCTTTTCCAATCTTTCTAAAACACTTTTGGGAACCTCTCTTAATATGTGTCCCAGCCTCTATCAAAATTCATGTGTTTTTAAAAAATACCCTCTACAGTTAATAGTGTTGCCAGTTAAACTTACCATTGTCATTAAAGACGCGTTTTCTGAGAGGTGTGATGGGGCGTTTCAAGAAGTTTTGTTCCATGTGAGTGAAAGCTTCTTTGATTAAGGGCAGTCCAGTTATGACCACTGAAGGGATGTTACCAAAATCCAGGCTAATTAGGTTTCCGTACTTCTTCACAAACTGAAAAACATTTCAATAGTCATGGTCAAGTGTGTCTGTGTCAGGGATGGCAGGTGTGTGTGTCTAATGGGACTCATGTTGAAAGGTCTCTATGTGACTGTGAATTGAAGGACACACCTTGTTTTTTGGTTAATGAAAAGGTTTTCTCCTCCTCTGAACTAAATTCAAATTCAATTAAAACTGGGATTTACTCTATTAAAATCATTGATAAAGGACATTTTGAATTGAATAAGCATTTATAATGTACTACTAAAGGAATGTAAAAGTATGGAAGTGTCAAATAATATGCAAGGTCTTGAATCTGTCTCCAAACCCTCCTATTCCCCCTCCCCCTGTAACCTCAGTAGAACTCTGAAACATAGGCTGCAAATTCACAGAAAGGACCAAAATGTGAGAGACCACCCACCTGGTGGAACACCTCACCTTCTCGGCCCTCTATACCATGGCAAAACCCCAGAGCCTTTCACCACTCGCTTCAGCTTCTCTAGCCAGCCAGCAGGCAAGCTTTCTTCAGGTAGGCTGCTCCAACATCCCCATCCCACTGATGGGACCCTGTAAGCTACAAGTTTTACTCGCCCCCAATACTCCCTATCCTATGCGACCTCAGTGGAACTCAGAAACACAAGCTGCAACTATCATAGAGGACCAAGAGAGTAAACCAACAGAGCAGACAAAGAGAGCGGGTCAAGAGAGTGGGCCAAGAAAGACCTCAGTGGTTCCCTGAGACACAAGGAACAACAGTACAGGGCAGATCAATAACAGTTCCTAAAGACACAAACAGCCACTTCAAGGATTGAATCAAAAGGCAAAGACACTGCCAGCACCAATTGGAGGAAGAGATGAGTAGGCACTAATGCAAGAGTTCATTCAACAACCTAAAAAGCAACATGGTGCCCAGTGGTCATAAGACAGGAAGACTTGATGATCCTAACCCAAAAGCAGCAGAAAAAAAAAGATTTTAAAAATCACTTTATGAGGATGAAGGAGACCTTTAAAGAGGAAGTGAAATATTCCCTTAAAGAAATGAAGGAAAAGACAAAAATAGTCTCTCAAAGAAACCCAAGAAATGTAAAGAAAGAAGGATCAGCAGAGGGAATGTTTAGAAGAAAAAGAAATTTCATTCCAAGGGTTAGTGAGACTAGACACCGAGCAATGAAGAGCAGCCTAGGAAAGATTCCACTATATCAAAGTTCTTAGACTTAAGAAAGAACAAAACAGTGTCAATCAGAAAGAAAATGAATTAACTTTCCCATAAGGAGTAAATAAGAAGGTTATTAGCCTGAATTCTTAAAAGATTGGGCAGTGAGATTGTGTGTGTGTGTGTGTGTGTGTGTGTGTGTGTGCGTGTGTGTGTGTGTGTGTGTGTTCCTAATGGGCACAAGAAACCCATAATCTCTGTTTATTTATCAAGGTGAGCTATTCTGTCATCCATCTACTTAACATACTTAAGAGAAATGAAATTATACATAGTGTGTTTGTCAGATCATAATGGGGTAACAACGGAGATCTTTTACAGTAAGATATTAAAAGCAACTTTTTGGCAACAAAACATCGTGTGTCATAAGTGAGGGCACAGATTAGAAACTAGTTCTACTGGCTGGGTTAGTCTGCAACCAACATCAGCCTACAGCCAGATCCTCCCGCCCCCAGTGCCCGGATCCCTGTTCCTGCAGCTCCGGATTGGGTCTTACCACAGCCAGACACCCTCACTCTTCCTCACCTGCTGAACTGCCAGATGCGACTGTTCCAAATCCAACTGGAGCAAGTTTCCCACAAAGGGCAGGCGCCAGGGCCCTGGAGGGCAGTTCTTGGGGCGCCTGTTTATTAGGAAGTTGGTCAGGAGCAGGAAAGTGACAGCAGCCAGCAGCAGAGTCCTAGCATGGAGCGCTGCCCAGATGGCGGCCACCAGGGAGCCCTCAGTGACAAACATGGCAAGAGCTGGGGCCGGTTCCCTGGGTCTCTGCCTGGTGCTGACGGCAGAGACAGTCCCTCTGCTAAGTTCCACCCTGCTTCTTGCAAACCACGCCCTCTCAGTCCTACCAGAGCCCTGCCCTGTGCGTTGTTCCTGCCCTCTCCACTGGCCCCGCCCCATCTCTCTGTTCTGCCTGGGAGCCAGTACCCTGTTCATCAGTACTGGTTAATACTGCAGGCTTCTGCAGAGGCCTCTGACACTCTGCGCTTTTATCCAGCCCACCCCCTCCTAATCCTTGCCTTGGCTCTCTTTCCTTTGCCCCATCTCCCAAGTCCTGCTTACCACCCCTAGGTGCCAGGCACTGTATTCCCAGCACTGGTCCCCAATGGGATTTAAAGGGGCTGCCTAAGAGTGGTTGCTGTTTCAGAAATTTGTTTTTCTGAAGCCTTTGTGTGGCTCTGGGAATAGTGATTGACATCCCAGCAGACTCCTGGTTTATAAAGGAGCTTTCCCTTTATAACTGGATAAAACCTTCATGAGAGACTCCTATAGACAGCGCCCCTGAGAGTATGCCCGAGGCCTTAATCACTGAGCTCTCAAGCCCCCTCTTTTCTTCCTTCGGTCCTTTTTATACATACTTTTCACACATTTAAACTATTTTAGCTTTATTTGAGAATTCCAGAAAATATATTTCGATCATAAGCTTTTTCCTCCTCCAACTCCTTCCTGATTTCACCTACCTCCCCACCTGAACTTCATGGGCTTTCTCTTTAAAACAAAACATAAATTTTAAAACAAAATGGTGGTGGTGGTGGTGATGTGCGTGTGTGTGTGTGTGTTAGATGATGTTAGGCACCTAGAGGAAAGGTGGCAGCTTTGGGAGAGTCCCTGACACTAACTGTTCAGCAGGTGAGAGTGTTACAGAATTATCTGTCACTGATAGCATGGCAAGGTTCTGAAGAGAGCTGTCAGTACTCACCAGCAAAGAGAGTCCATTTTTTATTATGATGATTATTATTAATTTTATTGAGCTCTACATTTTTTTCTGCTCCCCTCCCTTCCTCACCCCTTCCCTTCAACCCTCTCCCATGGTCCCCATGCTCCCAGTTTACTCAAGAGATCTTGTCTTTTTCCCATGTAGATTAGATCCATGTATGTCTCTCTTAGGGTCCTCATTGTTGTCTAGGTTCTCTGGGATTGTGAATTTAGACTGACTTTTCTTTGCTTTATGTCTAAAAGCCACTTATGAGTAAGTACATGTGATTATAGTCTTTCTGGGCCTGAGTCTTAAAGGGTCTGAAGAGAGCAGTCAGTACCCTCCAACAAAGAGCAGTCCATTCTTAAAGGTTCTGATAAGCTTGGAGGTTCTACGCCAGGAGGCAAAATAATTAAAAAGTGGTGTATGTTCCATGCCTCTGGCCACTTACACAGAGAAAGAGGAACAATTTGGCCATTCATGAGAGATATGAAGAGAGAGAGGCTGTTTCAGCGAGGGAGCCAACATTTCTATTTACTTACTTAATACTTACTTACTTATTATTGTGAGACAGGGCTTCACTAACTAGCGATGGTTGCCCTGAAACTATAATGTTGGCCAGGCTCCCTTCAAACTCACAGAGATCCACCTGCCTTTTGCCTTCCCAGTGCTGGAATTAAAGGTGTGTACTACACATTAGGCTACTGGTCTCACCTTTACGCAGCATCTTATCAGAGGAGAGAGATTGTGTGTGTGTGTGTGGGGGGGTGGTCAGAGTCCTCAGACTGCAGCAGCTGTCACGTAGCAGAGAGAGGTCACTATTGGGAGGATTCTCAAACAATTCCCTCCCCATGAACTGTGCTGTACAGTTATGAAGGTGAGGAAGAGTTTATTTAGACCTGTATGGGTTTTTAAAATCTTGTTTTCATAATCGTTCTCAAGTTGGGAGCACTAATGTCAATTTATTTGTGTGTTTGTAATCCTTTTGCCCAATACCATGAAGACTTGAATATATATTCTGAAAGGAGAAGACCCTGCAACTTCTCATATTCACCACTGATATCTGATATATAATAAATTATTGATAAATAATAACAAAAATTGAATAGAATATCATGATTGTTGATTTCAAAGTCCAGTTGCATCCACCCTTACCAAGTAGAGGAAATGATTAGTATTATTTGGCTTCTGTGTGAGTAAATATGGGTGTTAAGAAAGCAATATAATTTTACCAAATAAAAAGCTACTATGAATTTCAGTTCACAGGAAGGGAAGACATTTTTACCAACTCCCATCTGAAAGAGGGCTAATATCCAAATTACATAAATAACTCAAGAAACCTGATAGATACTTTGCTGAGCCTTGATGCAGAGAGAGGGGCTTGGTCCTGCCTCATCTTGGTATGCTAGATTTTGTTGATTCCCCAAGGGAGACCTTACACCATCTGGGGAGTGGATGGGGGTGGTGGGATGAGAAGGAAGGAGGAGAGGAAGAGGGAACTGGGGTTTGTATGCAAAATGAAAAAAAAATAATTTAAAAAATCCCCCAAAACCAAATAACTCAATTAAAAAATGAGGTGTATATCTAAACAGACGTCTCAATGGAGGACACTCAAATGGCTAAGAAAGGCCTAAAGAATTGTTCAGCAACCTTAGCCATCAGTGAAATGCAAATCAGAACTACTTTGAGATTCCTTCTTATACCTTTCAGGATAGTTAAGATCAATACGACAAATGACAGCTCCTTTACATCTCTCTCTCTCTCTCTCTTAAAATACTATTAGAATTTTTATGTATATGAGTGTCTTTCTGGCACATATGTCTGTGTACCATATGTGTACCTGATGCCCTCTGAGTTCAGAAGAGGTCTGCTCAAATTAGAGTTAAGAACCCTTGTGAGCTGCCCAATGGGTGCTGGAAATTGAACCCAGGTTGTCAAGAACAGGTGTTCTTAAATGCTGAGCCATCTCTCCAAGTAGAGCCATTTCTCCAGGTGCCGCTCCCATCTCTTTAGAACAGAGATGTGAATCTCCTTCATTGGGTAAAATGGTTCCATGTACTGTTCAGACTTCAGAATGCCAAGATTTATTGGAAAACTGATTTCAATCTCTAAGTGTGGTACTGGTGGCAAAGGGGGCCTCACCTTTGTGGTAAATGACTACGAAATGCATTGCATTGTAATAAAACGACTGCAATTCTGGTGAACTCTCCATAGAGACACAAAAAATAAAGTGACCCCAGGTGTTTGGAGTGAGGTGGTGATGCTGTGTAGCATTTCCTTCCAGGATGACAAGACCATTTCAGTGACAAGACAGAGTAGCTGTGATCAGCTGCTTGATATCTTTGAAGCATGAAACCTACTGACATTGCCTCATGGAGAGATAAGAAAGGTTCATGATGTTGATAAGACCCCTTGCAAAGGTTATGTGGGTGGTAGACAATTACTAGGTGGTGGGAAGGGGAGAAGATGGTTCATTTGTTCAGCTGCCTGAGAATCAGTAGGAAATTTGTTGCTGAGAAGCTGTCCTTGGATCATACATGGTCTTGTAACTGCCACCAAGAAATTTATTGGTTCATCAACCTGTATCCATTTTCTGTGACCTATTGGTACCCTCCGAGTCTTAGCTGAATAGACATAGTTTCTTATGGTTCCTCATAAACTTCAGGAGACAGGCATGGTAGGAATGCACCAACCTTTGTTTCACTCCTTATTGAGTCCTGTGTCCTCAAATGTATTCCAGGGGCAACATTTCATACATCCTATTCTTCTTCATTCCATTAGATTGTGAAATTTCTGCTCGCACACCACACTTTAGAGGAGAGAATCAGAAGCTTGCAGATTTAAACATCTTGAATTCACATAACCTACATGGTGCTTCACACAAATGTTCCTCATGTTTGTTCTTTGGTTCTTCACACACAATTTGGATCATTCAGCTTAAATGAACACAAGAGGACAAAGGAAGGACCATAGGAGTAGAGCTCTGGAGTTTTCTGTTGTGACTGAGATGCCTCTTTTCAGAGGAAGCAATCATTAATACTTCTTTACCAGGCTAGACCTCACCTCAGGTCTGTCATATCTGGGACCTCCCAATGAATGGTTCATGTAGTCCAGCTATGTAATCAGACATAATTTTTTCAAACTCAGGGCATTGCAAGTGCCTTTCTCTGTCTCTGAAGATGTCATAGCTCCTTATTTATTTTAAATTTTTGTTGCAGCATGCCTGTGTCTATGTTTCTTTAGAGGAAAAAGGAAGATGATCCACAGCTGGAGATCCCATTTGGAAAACACCCAGTTTTATTATCACAGGCCTTGTAGAACAGATGCCGGGAAGAAATGAGGAGGTGAAGGGTATTGGAACTGCAAAAGCAAGAGAGAAATTATCCTAAAAATTTCTTTAACGAGTCTGTGGTATCATTCTTGAAGGGAAATGAGCCTGTTCTTTCTTTCTTTCTTTCTTTCTTTCTTTCTTTCTTTCTTTCTTTCTTCCTTCCTTCCTTCCATCCTTCCTTTCTCTCTTTCAGCATTTTCAGCAAACTTTCAGAAAAAAGGAACACGCTTTATAGATAAAAATTTCCAGTAGATATCACAGTCACTCCCAAAGTTTCTAGTTCATTATGGTAACATAGAACTTGGTCCTGAGAACCCTGTGCCTTCAGAGCTCAGATTGAGATACTAACATTTCTGTGCTTCATTAAATATTACTGTATTTTGTGTGTTCAGGTCAAGTGGAACCCTTCTAAGTAACTCTGTGCCATGTAAACCATGCTATTTTAGAATACACTTTGACTTGAGAGACTGCATTTTACAAGCAGATTTTGACTCCTTGCTTATTATAGCTGCCAATGTCTTATAGTTTAAAATATTCTATCACAGTGTATAAAGCAATATACAGGACAAGGGACCCCAAATAGTATAAAATGTTCAGGTGTGTGTGTGTGTGTGTGTGTGTGTGTGTGTGTGTGCATGCGTGTGTGGTTTTTTAAAAACTAAGTCTCTATTTATTTTATCAATAAAGACTAGAGAGTCAAATTCTGGGGTAAAAACCTGGTAGCTCAGAGAGGCAGAGAATGCATCCAGCTGCTTCCTTCTCAATTGATACCTGAGAAA